GAATCGCTCCTCCCAAGAGTAGACACTAAGGCAAATCCGTGCCCGTGGGGGGTTACCCCAGCCCCTATGACGCTGAAAAGCCACCCTCCATGACGCGGCCCAAGGACCGCAGTAGTGGCCCGGCTCAACTTTGCCACCTCCCTCCAGGACTGAAATGTCTTCTTCTTTTTCTTCTTCTTTTTTAAAATGCAGCGTGATCCGTGTCTGCAGTGCCAGCTTTGAGACACGAAGTGTCTCCCGCTCGCGCACGCACCCGCACACTCACAGTCGCGCACACAGGTGCCCATACCCCAACGCCCTTCTAGTTCGGGGTGGTATTACCTCATCTTCGCCAGCATCCTTAGCTGTCTGTCAAGGATGCATTGCCACGCCCGCTGACTACTCGGGCCGGTGCCTAGGAGCTCACACGCCCCCTACTGGCCCAAAGCGACGCCTGCCGGCCAACGGCCACACTCTAGTTGCCATTCAACTCCAACCTCTGCTCAGGAGACTCAGTCCGAAGGGATGCAGCAATTTGGTGAATGAAGGATTTACACCTACTTGAGAGTAGAAGTGGTTTTTCTGGCCTGCTTCGACGTTGCTTGAGTTAAGAAGACACATGCTAAATTGATTTATTCTTCAGGGTTTCTGTGACCAAAATAATGAGACACTAAGACAGACATAACTAGACTTGGTTATTATGGGCTTAAATAATTAATGTGGAACATAATCTAAAAGGGCAGATTGACATCAGGATTACATGTTAATCTTGCCCTAGAATACAAACTTTGTTTTGCTGAGGTTGCAATCACATGAAACACTAAATTTATATGGTCAGGATCCAGGATAGGATATGGAAAAATAAAAATTATGTGTTAGGGACTGGGATTATGAATTTTTTGAAGTAATAATTTTTCATAATATCTTATAGTCATTTTTTGTTTGTTACCCTCTCTCTTTCTTGTGCTCTCTTGAATTACAGAGATATTATTAATATTATTATGTGTATTTCCTTAATATTATTATTTGTATTTCCCACATCTCTTTCATCCTTTACCTGCTCTTCACAGAGTTCCAAATGCAAAGAAAAAATATCATACATGCTTCTCTTTGAGTCTCCAAAAGCGCCAGGCTCCAGGCTACCTCTGAGCTTTTCCTTGCTGGTGGTGCCCTTGCCCAGAAATCTCCCTACCATGCCCTCCAGAAACCCCAGTATCCCAATCAAACTCAATCAATTTTCAGGGTTTGAAGGATGAAAGGGACAGGAGTAAAGGATACCTCAATTAATCTGACCAAGAGCCACTTATTATTCCTGTTTCACAATTGACAAGGCTTATGGAATTTATGCAATTTGTCCCAGAATATTATTTAGCCAGAGGGGAAATTGGTATTCAAAACTTAGTTGGAATCCCCTCACAAAAAGAAAAAAAACCCCACACATGTTAGATGGCCAGGCATGTGGCAATGTAGACGTGTCTCAATGTAAAAGAAGGGAATGGATAGTGTTACAAATGTCTTCCCCCCAAAATATATGCATATTAAAAGAAAGAATGAAAAAGAGAAAGGAAGGAAGAAAGGAAGGAAGGAAGGAAGGAAGCAAGGAAGGAAGGAAGGGGAAAGAAAAAGAAGGGAAGGGAGAAATTTTATTGAGCTATTTTTTACTTTCAACCTTGAGACCAAGAGTATGAAGAAAGTCTGGGAACCTTCTTGTGGTCTGCATCTGTATAGATCCAGAAACCATCAGTTATGATGTAAGGGGATGCTAGAAGGACCAGAGAGAAAATAGCACCTGCCCAGCTAAACCAGAAATCCCCAGGCAAAAAAAGATAAGGGAGAAAGTGTCTCTTACTTAGGTCCAGCCTGATTTTGTATCTGGTCTTCATGCATGTCATGTTAAACATAGAAAATTACAACAAAACAAAAATAAATCTCTAATCACACATTAGAGGTTTGTGTGTAGCCTGATTCATTTGCAAGCAGAAGTGAGTATTTACATGCTTGGTATTAGTAATCAATTATAGTTGTAAGATGTGTGTATTTTTGATATTCTATGTTAATTTAGAATTTATAATAATCTATGTGGCAATCATAATTTATAATTATATGACAATAATAATATATTTCTATTTATGTTTCTTAGATCTTCCAATTCAACAATCCTAATTTCAAATAATCTGTAGCATGCCTGAAAAACTCAGACATTTCATTTTCATATCCAACTATATCTTTTAAATTACCTCCTGTTTCCACCCATAAGTGGCCTAATAATCTTTAACCAAATGATGTGCCCAATTTTTAATTTGGGATATGACAGCTATAATTAAACCTCACTAATTAAGACCAATTGGAATGAAGCCAGTCTGTGTTGTTCAAAGCTACAATTTAAAGCTACTTCAAAAATTGCCATCATTGCTTAACATCAAGATTCAATGAAAAAGTCATTGTCTTCTTTTTCCGTGGAACATTCATGGACAAAAGTGATCCTTTTTTTTTTTTCCAGTTACCTATCGCTGTGTAACAAATGGCTCTAAAATTATATGTTGAAAACTTCAACAAGCATTTGTCAACAAGCATTTATTTTGCACACAAATTTGCAATTTGGGAAGGGCTTGATGAAGACAAGCTAGTCTCTGCTCCACATGGAGTTCAAGTTAGCTCAAAGGATGCATGGGGGCTGGAATCATCTGTGGGCATGCTCATTCACAGGTTTAGTGTTTGATGCTAGCTGGCACCTGGGAGCTCAGCTAGGGCTACAGCCCAAGCATCTACACATGGCCTGTCTATGTTGTTGACTGGCCTTTTTATCACATAGAGGTGGTTGGGTTCCAAATGAGCATGACCCAAGAGAAAGAGCTGGACTGGAGCTGCATTGGCTTTTTGTAAAATTAAAGTTTTTTTTTTAAATATTTGAAATAATTGTAGATTCACATGCAGTTGTAAGAAATAAGACAGAGAGATACCATATACCTTTTTTCTCCATGTTACTCAGTGGTAACATCTTACAAAACTGTACCTACAAAACTAGTGCATCACTATGATATTGACACAGTGAGGATACAGACCAGTTACAATTCTGCTGTTTATTGAAACAATATAATTGTATTATATAGTACACAATATATGTTATATTATTTATATATTAATGTATGTTATATTATAATAAATGTATATTATACAATATCCATTTTGTGTACAAATGTATGCAATATAGTTTGTATCACCACAAGGATCCATGCTGTTGTCCTTTGATAACCACATCCAATCCTCCCCACTATCATTTTGTGCTTAACCTCTGGCAATCACTAATATGTTCTTCATATCTGTAATTTTTTCAATTCAAGAATATCATTAAGTAAATGGAATCATAGAAAATGTAACCTCTTGTGTTAGTGTAGTACATTTGCTACAATTGTTGAGCCAGTATTAATATGTTATTAACATAATAAGTCTGTTTTTTACATTAGGGTTCACCTTGGTGTACATTCTATGGGTTTGGACATGGACCTCATGGAACACATGTAGTGGTATCTCATTGCTGCTTTCAGTTGCAATTTTCTAATGACATATGACATTGAGCATCTTGTCAACTGCTTATTTGCTATCTGTCTTTGGTGAAATGTCTGTTAAGGTCTTTGGTGCATGTTTTTAATTGAGGTGCTTGTTTTCTTGTTGAGTTTTAAACGTTTTTTTTGTATATTTTAGACAACAGTTCTTTATCAGAGGCATCTTTCACAAACATTTTATCTCAGTCTATGGCTTATTTTTTAAATTTGTTCTTTCTCTCTCCCTGTCTCTCTAACTCTCTCTCTTTTAAGAATGGGTGCTTGCCCCATCTGGCTTGCTGCAGATGTCACAGGGCCCAGGGGTGGTAAGAAGTGTCTCCGAGTTCCAGTGCTCAGGCTCACATGGACTTTCTCCAACATTGCCCAGCACTTACCTCTGCGCCACATGGCAATGGGCCTTCATTCCCCTAGCAGTGTATTTCACAGAGCAGACATTTTAAATTTTAAA